TGTGTGTGTGTGTGTGTGTGTGTGTGTGTGTGTAGCTCATTGTCACAATTTCTGTTTTAGGTTTTTAATTTTTTTGTTGTCGTTGTTGTTTTTTAAGATTTTGAGTCAAGAGTACAATTGAACGACCTCCTGTTTTCTCTAGTAGGGATTTTGTATTCAAACACCCCTTAAATGAATTCTCTAAACCAAAGGTGGTAGATCACTAAATTTAGTATGCACCATCTTGAAACACTCCTTACAAAAACTTATCAAAAGAGTTCAGATTAATTTCATCGTTCAGCAGATATGGGCCCAATATGGGTTGTGTATAATGACCGCTTGGCCTAATTCTTGTGAACACAATGTCCAAACTTCACAAACGTGCTACACATTAACAACAGCACATTCTGAGTGAGGAAAGACCCAATGTCATATATTTCTGATCCTATGGAGGGTTACAGCGATTTCTGAATGATGAGCCGTTTACATCAATAACAATGACAGTGAACGGCTGTAATACTAATGTTGTCCACTAGAGGAAGCCACAGGAAAAGATTTGTTCATACTTTAGCATCAGTGTCAAAAGATCAATAGCTTCACGTACAGTAAAATGAAATTAGTAAAATGGTTAGTTTGCAAAGAAGTCTGTGATCTCCAACATGCTCATAGATCAAAACATATTTGTCAGTCGCCAGACAGACTGCTTTACATGACAGTATGTTGTTCTTTTAACATAAAATATAGCATATTTCTTTAAACAGACACTCAAAGGCACACATTTTATTTGAAAAGACACATGCCAATGTATTGTATCACTGAACTGTCTGCATTGGTGCTTGGACTCCAGTGAATGACACAAGCGGCTGTTTTACTCTGTAACTGCATGGCACTCGCTTTCTAATCTAGTTGTCTAATAAACATTGCATTGTGCAACTATCGTTTGCTCTGTGATGAATTGCCTTGTTCCTCTTTTTGTAAGTGGCTTCGGATAAAAGCCTCTGCTAAATACATAAATGTAAACAAAGACTGCTGTGAAACACTGAAGTAGCACTCGTACCCGCCGATGCCCGAGGTGTGGGGATGGATGATGCCCAGGCAGAGGGAAGCAGCTATAGCAGCATCAACGCTGGACCCCTGTTTGCCCAAAACGTCAAAGCCCAGAGACGTGCAGCGGGCCACATCCGTCACCACCGCGCCTTGATTATACACCTGACGACAGAAGAGACTAACATAAGGAACAGTTCTGTTCTTTTGGGGGGAAAAAATATCTATTTTTATATATCTATCAAACACAAACACAAAGTTATAATAGCACAGAGCTCCTCTGTTTTATAGAATTTCACAATACATTCATTTCACATGCAAAGCTCATTTTGTGCTTAATCACCAAATAGTCATGAAAACTGTCACAATGCAAAACATTACATTAATTCTGGTAATCTTAATGCAGATCTTCAAAGTAACATGACTTCTATTTCTTTGTAGGAATCCCCCTAGGAACACAATAAATGTGAAGTTGATCATATTTACTAATTCACTTCTCTGAGAGACAACAGTAAAATGAACATGCACAATGGCATCTTTGAAAGTGGAAATTCGTATTTTGTATTTAAATTATTTTTGTATGTGATGATTGCGGTGCTGCGTACCCAGTCTGTGGTCACTTGTGCAACCAGTTGGGTTTCTGCAGACTCTGTTGAGAGTTTTAATGTGAAAAAGAAAAGTATAATGTGTCTTTAGGTTCGGTGTAAAAATTAAAGAGTGAACGATAAGCAAACCAGAACTAAATACATCAGTTTCTTTTTCAGTCCGGAGCAAAAGAACTAAGAGCCAAACTAGAAGTGTGCACACGCTCTTCAAGTCAGCATGAGTTCACTATACATTTGACTTCCATAATCAAACCAAACAGATCGGTGTAATACACTGATGAATTCTCTCACCTTCTTGGACTGCTGAACGGTCTGCAGATACTGACACAGCTCAGTGGTGTGCGAGAACAGACTGGAGCACACGCTCCTATAGTGTTGAGCAGCCTGACTCGGATCGTACAGGCGCTCCTTACAAACCTATCAGAAAGACAAGCGACACAGAGGACGTCAGCGATGCTGCAGATGGGCTGCCGAGGTTCACTTTGGTCACCTGACACACCAGGATCTCTAAGGTCTCGCTCCAGCTGCGTCTCCAGACCCCAGTACACAAGACGGCCCACAAACTCCACAGCCTACAGACACATTGACATCTCTCAATAGCACATGCATGAATCATTGACATATTTATGATTATGTATGTGAAGAAAATATAATCGCCTACTTGTTCCTCTGTCTCGATCACACAGGAATTCCCTACAGAAAGAGACGTTAAAAAAATAATTGTTTTTATTGCATTGATAATGTGAGAAATCTAAGACACACTAGTATGTAAATAAAGACTAGTATGCTCTTTTGTTAGTTTTGACTGCTTTTATTGTCCTCATTTGTAAGTCGCTTTGGATAAAAGCCTCTGCTAAATGACTAAAAAAAAAAAAAATTTGGTCAAATGTTGCATCAAAAACAGCAAACTGATTCACCTACACAACTGCAGTTTTTACATCCAAATCACATCTATGTTTAAAAAACATGCTTTTAATTTTTTTAATGCAGCACAGAAAATTATTTGAATCCATGTCTCATTTTTAATTAACACACACACACACACACGTCTGGTCAGCTATCCTTGTGGGGACTCTCCATAGGCGTAATGGTTTTTCTATTGCCCTACACCAACCCTACCCCTAAACCTACCCCTCACAGGAAACTTTCACACACACACACTCTCTCTCACACACACTCTCACACACACCCACACACACACACACACACACACACACACACACTCACTCTCACACACACACACACACACACAATAAAAGTCCATGGGGTTAAGGAACTGCACTGGAATAAACATTAAAGTCACAGGTAAAATAATGACAATGTGAATAATGAAAGTGTATCAACATGAAAATGACAAATGAATAAATAAATATTCCTGTAATGACCATCATGTAGATCAGGTAACTTCTGCATGGATATAAGGATATAGAATAGGCCTAAATAATTACAACAATGCATCGTGAATCGTTTTGTGAACGATTTTGTTTGCAATAAATGGACAGCACCTCAAATACTGAATCCAGCGTTTCTTTAAATACAAATGCCAGTTATATACGTAAATCCTAAAGACAAGTCTACTGTAAAAATGTTAAATCTAAATGTCCAGTGCACTTTATGCTGCACAAGCTCTCATGCTCGCACCAGTATTGCTGCTCGCGGGTCGAGTGTGGAGCAGAGCTGGAAACACAGAGCCCAGGCCTGCTCCTCGCTCACTGCATGGTCCAGCATCTCCAGCATCTCAGCCAGTCATCTGCTCACATGAACACCTCTGTGTTCGTGTCATATGAAGCCAACTCCATCATCTCCTCGAAAACATGTACTTTTCAGCTTCTCAACTGTTAAAGGGCCAAACACTACTCGTATTTAAAACGCTGCTTGAATAAAAAGATTACTTCCACACTGATAAAAGCTTCTCTTCAATAGGTGTGCTTCACAGTTCTTCTCTATAATGGCCGTGATTAACTGCAGCTGAGAATTGAGTCCATCTGACTCAGTTATGAGACGAATCACATTAAAAACTTGCATTTGAAGCAAAATAAAATAAAAGCTATTTTAAATTGTAAAAATATTTCACAATATTCTTGTTTTTTCTGTATTTTTGATCAAATAAATGCAGCCTTCATGAGCAGACTTTTTTCTCAAACATTGTAAGTCCTAATTGGGCTACGCTAACCACCCAAGCAATGAGATTTCATTTTTGTGATTAAATAAATATTGCCTGCATTCAACTTCTATTTCCAGTGTGATCAAATGAATACCAATCAACCATCATGTAACCAACCACAATGTTTGCATCTATTTCTGACTATTATTTGATTAGACTGTGAACTATTTATGAGAAAACAAAAATGAACTACTTTTTGGAAGTTACAGATTGAAAGCCACTAGCTAACGACGGAAGCACACAATGCGGTCATGTGACAGTATGCAGTGTATACTGCACAGTACGCAGTAAGTATGCTAGTATTCTATGAAGAACCTTCCAAGTGTTGTTTTTAAATCTATTCTAATTTAAGATCACTGATATTTGTTTTAAGTCTTGTTAAATTAAACTCATTGTGCTTTCATATTAAAAACATCACTGTAGGAAGGGTTCTTATTTGCATGTTTAGCGACAAACAAAAACAAGTCAAATGTACACTTGTAAAAATAGTTTAATGCATGTGATCCGGGGGCTAAATGGGAGAAGACAGGTGCTAACAGTATTGAAATGCACAGTTAATTCGTGATATACAACATGGGGGTGGAAAGTACAAAGTCTGATTCTGTCACATTATTATATTGTGATACTACAGACATTATTCTATTCTTAGTCTGCATTGCATGATTAATATAGAATTGACCAATATTATTAATAATAAAAAAAGTCACACCAAAACGATGACATACAAACACAATCATACACAATTCTAAACGTGATCTCATCTAGTAGCCAGGGACAAAATACAGTATCATGATTAAAAAAAAAAAAAGAAGAAAAAACGTTCTGTACATGGTTATCTTGCTTAGAACAAAAGGAAAAACAGCAGATAAAACAAGTTCAGAAAATGACAAAAAATAATATACAATTTTGTGTGTCATGATTACTTTGACTTCCTTCGTTTT